GAGGAAGTGAGAAACAGCCAACTAATGAATGGGCCACCTGGCGCCACTTTACTAATCTGGACCGGATGCATTGTGTTAAAGCCAGAGGACCGCGGGCGCTATAGACAAAGGAGAGAGCTGCGGAATTGAGGAAGAGATCAGCGCGCGAGGGGATGCTCCCGGCTGTTCGCGCGACAGAAGCCCCAAGGAAGGCAAGGACCATGCCATAGGCAACAACAATCAAAGAAACAAGAGAACTGGGCTGAACCTGCCATTCCAGTAGAAGGGGGGGGATTACAGGGGGCAATCTGCAATCTAATTTGTAATATGTAACCTAGCAACGGGGCCCGCGGGGGATTGGGACGAATATAAATGAGCAATGTAAATGTGCCAAGCCAGTCCTGGCTTTGTTTGTAACCGCTACGTTACGCATGAGTAAACCTCTTTTGTGAACCACACGTGTCACGGGAGTTTCTCTGTCGAACGGGGCAAACCTTACAGATAGTTGGGTTGAAAACCAGCCTGCTTATTGCCCAGTATTGCTTCTTTCTATAGCCAATCTTGTAATTTGCTATTCAAGTGACAGGCATAAAGCTTGCTAATCATATTCAGCAAATTTATAGGGCAGACTAGGTGGATCCCCTATATCCTCCTTTTTAAATATTGGCACAATAATAACAGGACCTCAATCCTGAAGAATATGACCCATGTGATCTGTATAGAAAAAAGGGATGCCCAGTAGTTAGCATTTCCTTCCACATCTCACCCTAGCCCTTGCCACATTATCGATGAACCACATTAAGGAGGTTGGGATGGGAAAGCCCCATCACAGCAAATGGACAAATGGTGGGATCTGCTCTGTTGCTTCATTGTTAGGTAATAACAATACATTGCATTATACTTGAGTAGTTTTATTTTGTATTGGTCTTGGACTGTAATGATGATGATAATGATGCATTGCATTATAATGTTATATAATATTATTAAGGTATCACATTTCTTCTAGCCAGAGAATGAATGTTTAAGACTGAGTTAGGGCATCCCTTCCTATTTGTTTCTGCAGTGCCTAGAAGTGTAAGATATTTGAAATACAGATGGAGAGGCCAGAGTTTTGCAGTATGTTTGTTAAAAAGTAAAAAAGTAAAAAAGGAGTTATTCTCACTGCAAATTATAAGTCATAAGCTATGTAAAGCCCATTAATGTATTCATGTTTATTATTTATTTGTTATTTCTTCTTTTCATTGTTGTATAGATTAGAGTTTTACCATAGATTTTTAAATTGTTGTTATATTTTATATCCTATAAGAATTGTTTGATTGTGGTGGGGTACAAGTTGAGTCAATCAGATCAAATCAGTCAAATCCTGAATTGGTCCTTTCAGAACCATTGATATGGGAGAAGCTTTGCATGAACAGTTATTCCTATTAGAATGCATAGGGAACTCTTGTTGCATGGCTATTTAGTTTTATATGTGGCATATCATAGGGACAAGAATGTTTAAAAGACTATACCTTTTCAGATTTACAATTTAAAAAGCTAAAAGGGACCACATACTTTTTACAGAACCTTTTTAATCATGTGGCACTTGAACCCATGATGAATCTAACAATTATTACACTTTACAGGTAGTCCCTGGGTTAAGAATGCCTGGTTTGTGGACAACCCATAGTTAAGAATGGAGCCTATTGTAGCAGAATTTGAATTAAATACCTAATGATTCGAGTTAAATACACAATGGTTCAGGTTAAATACACAATGGTTCAAGTTCATTACCCAATACTACTTATACAGTATTG